TTAAGCTCTTATTTGGCTAAGTTAGCTAAATTTTGGGATTAGTGCCTGAAAATATAAATAACACGTAATAAGTCTAAAACGGCAAAGTAAGATAGATAAAGGTACTAGAATGCTTAAGCTTAACGGGTTTAAATGCGCACTTTTCAGTGCTCATCATTGCTGTGGTCCTAGAGTGATAGTGTATGCACTACAATTGCATTGTTTAAGGGCTAAATTTGGATAAGAATGTTATTACAGTCTTATTATTATGAGGTGTAATTTATGGTATACTAGAGGACAAAACAGTTGAGGTGGCAATGGTATATTGGTCTATTTACAGGAAGAATGTCAGAACATTGTTTGGCCATTGATTGGATGAAGGTGTTATGTGTATATCCTTCTTATAGTAGGACTTGTATTGTGAATTCAACTATATATATGCTGTGATAGTGATTTTAAGGTTTAAGCCTTTTGTTAAAAACCCTAAAAGTGACCTGCATTTTAATATACTTGATAGCTTCAAACGAACAATGATTTATAAGGTGTTTGATGTTGATCTAAACCATAAATCTTCATTGAATTGATCATTGTTGCTGTACTTACCATGGAAGTTGATTTGTTGTCAATGTTGCTGGTGCATTTGTTGGTTTGAAGGTTGAATTGAGCCCGAGGTTATTGTGGTGCCAAGTGAAGGTTGAGACGGGTATATTCGAGTTATTTATATTTGCTGAGCACTTGTTTTTGAACCATAGTATGCTGCAAATGATTTTCCACTTTCAGACCTGTGTTTTGGCCTATTTGCTGGTTTAGCTTTGTGATTCACATATAGATTGATTATATCTTGCTATACAATGAATGATCTATATGCTAACAAGTTTGTATTGATGAATCCAAGCTGTTGAAATTGGTTTTTGGACAAAACTTTGGTTATCTCAGGTTTTGACATACCAAAACCCTATGTTCTTGAGTGAATAGTTGTTGTCAAGGCCTATTTGTGATTATAGTGATATATACATGTTGTACCTATTATGTTTATTAGTTGTGCATATTTGTAATGGTGATATAAAGTTACGGAAATGATCTCATAATTTTTTGGACACGAATTTTCAGATTTACCCCTCAAACAATAGTTTTTGCATAAAGTGTTCTGGAGGCTACATATTGGTTAAGCTACATAACCACTCTTATCTGTTGTGTAAGCTTAAATATTGTTGATATACATTATTTTATATATATTTTGTGAGTTATGAGAGCTTGCAGGGTCCAAGCAGGGGTGCTTAGGACACGAGGAGTGCATTGAGCACTGTGTTGAGCTAGTGTGTGTGTAAATGCTGTGAAGACTAGTGTCTTAACTTGTATAAGGGTATATGCAGAATGTGAAATAGCTGAGTGTGTAACTAATTGCGTATAACTACTGGAGCTGTGCTGAGTTCGAGATAGCTGAGTGTATAACTAATTGTATATAACTAGTGGAGCTTATTATTGGTTGAGGTCAATAACCATTGTTTTTCAATATTGGAAGGGTTTCTTTGTACATCTTCTGTTCTATGCCTTGTGTGTATTTGCTGAGCTTGTAGTGAAGTTGAAAAAGTTTATTTTGACGAATTACCCCTTTTTTGGTCTAACAATTTTTTTGAACTTGTAGTGAAGTTGAAAAATTTATTTTGACCGATTCAACCCCCAATTCTCGTCCCCCCCCCCCCCCCCCTCCCCCCCCCAAACCAAAGTCTAACAATTTTTTGTTTGTACTTAGACTCAAGTTTTCTAATAATTTTTTCTCTGTACTAGACTCAAGTTTTAGAAAATGCTTCTTTTAGCAATCTTCATATAACAAGATATTTTTTAAAATTGCTTCACCCACATGTTTTTGTGTCATTTTATTCTTATTATTATTATTATTATTTTATCAATTTGATATAGAAATGAAAACAACTTTTTTTTTTATAATTTTTTTTAAATTCTCAAAATACAATATCAAAGAGACCATCGATTCCAAATCCATATCACATAATTCATTAATAATCTGCTTGCATTACTAAGCATGCAGTGCCAACTTTAATGCAAATGTCTGTGGTAATAATAGTCTGAAATTTTGAATATATTATATTCCTTTAATCGAAATAATAATCTTAATAGTTAGTAATTGGAATAAGAAGTTCCTATTTGAAAAAGAAAAAAAGAAGGATAAGTTTCAAAATCAAGTTAAATTTCAAAATTTTAAGACTTCCACTTCTAAGTATTATGTTTGAGAGTAATGTGACAAAAATATGGTTGTACTTTTGATATTGTATATTTATATGTTGCCTATATATGAACTCTCACCACCCTTCAAGTCTTTTTACTTCATTTTTATCAAAACTATACTTGTCTCTATAATATTTGTATTTTTCAATACTATACATTTCAATCGTAAGGCATTTCTTAGTTACTTTCGTATAGAGGTGACAAATTACGATACAATACGATAACTCGATCCGAACACGACACAAGTTAAAAGGGTTTGGGTTTGACATAAATGGATTTGGGTTATAAAAAGGTCGATACGATTAACCCGTTTACTTAACCGTGTCGGGTTAGGGTTGAGGAGTTCAACCCGTATAACCCGTTTATAACCCATTTAACTCAACATGTTATAATCGTGAATATGACTTATGTAATATGTTATCTATTTAAACCTAATTATTATGGATAGTTAAGTCTTTCAACATAAGCCTTGTCTATTTCTTATGATTTTTTTTTTTTTTTTGAATATTTGGGTTAATTATGACAAATTTTTTCTATCATTTAGTATTTGATTAAATATTAAATGTCTCGTTTTAATAAGCAAATCATTAAACAAGTTAACACGTTTACTTGTTTAATAAACGAGTTAGGTTAGTATTGAGAATTTTTGATGGGTTGAATTTTAGTTTACTTATTTAGTATAATACCCTTATATCGACACGATACGACACGAACACACGAGCCACAAACATGAATTGTCACCCCTATTTTCATATAAACACTATCCACCTTTCCATTTTTGCTATCCCAAAATAATTGTTCGAATTCAAAATTTAATGTACCTTTTTTTAATATTCCTAATTTACTCTCCTTATCTTGAAATTATAAAAGTAATTAAAATCATATGAATCTACCATATAAGGATATATTTAAAAATTAATTTTCTACCACTATAATAAAAAAATATAAAAAATTACATTGAAAAAAGTTAAGTTTCCAAAAAGGGTCTTCTTTTTGGGTGAGATTGAGGGAGTAGTATCTTATTCTAGTATTATCAAACAAAATATCAAATGACATTGTGTCATTGCAATTAAAATCATTCACAAACATTAATGCAAATTTATCAACAATATTTGTGCACATCTTGGGGCATACCACAACTTAAATGGTAATTACACCGAGTGATTCAGGTCACTTGCAACACCCACGCGAGAGTGTAATTGATTTAGAAAAAATGAAATATACGATAATGAATTTTAACTACCACCTAATATTCACCTTAAACTTTACTATATTTTATTCATTTAATAAAAAAATGTCTCCAACTTCATCACACATTGGTCTATCCTTCACAAAAGTATACGTTAGATTAGTAAATTCTTAAAATTTAATACTTTAAAATTTATCGAATACACTAACAATTGTTCAGACATATAAAAGTATCAACCATTAGTTATCTTATTATTTTTAAATAAATCACATTTTTTTTTTAATTTTTTATTATTACAAGTGATTCAGGTCACTTGCAACACCCACGCGAGAGTGTAATTGATTTAGAAAAAAATGAAATATTCGATATTGAATTTTAACTACCACCCAATATTCACATTAAACTTTACTATATTTTATTCATTTAATAAAAAAATGTCTCCAACTTCATCACACATTGGTCTATTCTTCACAAAAGTATAGTTAGAATAGTAAATACTTAAAATTTAGGGAAAATTACATATAAATGGAGTCAAAGTTCCATATTTACTTAAAGGCTGAGTCAAAATTCCATATTTCTCTAAAATGGATTGCTGAGGTGGCACATGGTTTTTTACTGTTTAGAAATTGTGGTGCCTAAAATACCCTTCTGCGAAGGTACTACTTTTTTGAACTGAAGGTACTACTTTTTGGTGTCCAGGTACCATGTTTTTTAAACACCCGCGAAGGTACTACTTTTTTAAACTGAAGGTACTACTTCTTTGAACTGAAGGTACTACTTTTTTGTTAGGGAAGGGCATTTTAGGCACCACAATTTTCTAAACAGTAAAAAATCATGTGTCACCTCAGTAATCCATTTTAGAGAAATATGAAACTTTGACTCAATCTCTAAGTAAATATGGAACTTTAACTCCATTTATATGTAATTTTTCCTAAAATTTAACACTTTAAAATTTACCGAATACACACACCACTAAATTGTTCTGACATATAAAATTATCAACCATTAGTTATCTTATTATTTTTAATAAAATCACATTTTTTTTTATATTATTATCACAAAAGCGAAAAACCTTTATTCAAAAAATCCAATGACATTCAATACAATCTGCACTATTCCCATCACACTATATGACACAACAATTGTACTGTCATCATCACCCACCACCCATAACTCCACTGAAACTAACAACCAAGCCAAGGTGAGTCCTTCAAAAATAGTACTTTTGGGACAAATATGCCCTTATTTTTTTTGGTTAAAAGACAAAACTGCACTTATTACTCCCCACTAGCTAGTGCAAAAAATCACAACAATCACCAATCAGTCCCTAAAGTACAGTAATGGAGAATTTGAGAAAATCAAGAACTGTAGAGCAAATGAAATAAAAACATAGTAATTTATATATATAAATAGTAAATTAATAGTGGATAAAGAAAAAATTTAAATATATTAGTATATAATAATAAAATTACAATCCCAACAAATCCATAATAATCAGTTATGAATGACATATCCATAGTTACAGAAAGTAACAAAAGCTGGGGCTTAAGTCATCTTACGTTAGCTGTGTTTCTTTCTTCCCCAATGTTAACGTCCCTCACTTTAATACACTTTCAACACTTTCTCTCTCTGGAGTCTTGGCACTCTCTCTCTCTCTCTCTCTCTAAAAGAAGGGTAGAGAAAGCCAAACACAAAGCCACCTGTTGTTCCTCAATAAACCACCTTCATCAACAACACCAAAAACCACTACCACCTGTGATCGAATCAACCAAAACCCTAATTCACCTTCTCTCTCTCTCCTCTATCCTCATCTTTGTTCTTTTCCATTTCTCTTTCTCCAAATGGGTCTGTATTTGTAAGCTTCAATCTTCATAGAGAAATCCATTCAGATTAAACTCGAAGATCATCTAAATCTGAGAATTTCGATCTTCTTTCATCTATCTATATATAAATTATAAGTAAATATATATAGAGAGAGAACTGCTTTTAATTTATTTATAATTTATTTTCTGTAAAACTTTTTTTTTTCTGGGGTTTGGGGGTTTTGATTCCATGGCTGCTGGTGCGGCAATTACTGGTGATTCAGAAGTGGCAGCTCCGGCTGTTCTGTCTTCACAGAAAACTGATACTGTCAATACTAATACCAATGCCGAACCTATATCTGCTGGTGCCAAGGACTCTGATTCCAAATCGGAATTGAAAATGCAAGTCATCGTTGATATGTTATCCAAGTTGAAGCTGAATCCGCTGGCCAAGGAGTTCTTCCCATCATCATACTCGAATGATCGCAATCGCGATCAATTGGCCCTGGATAATTTTTTGGCAATTAATAAGCATTCAGGCAATGATGGGTATCTGAATAATCGAAGGGTATAACATCAAGCCTCCTTTCATTGTTTAATTTTACCATTTTTTTTTTTTGTTGTGTTTGATTTAAGTTTGCATTTTGATTGATGTTTTTTTTTTCTTCCTTATTTTGTAATTCAAGTTTAACTTTTGATTAGAGGGTTTTGCTTATTTTATCATTTGGATTTCAGATTTCAGTACGTGTTCTTGTCATAGATAATTGAGTTCATGAGGGTTTAATACGTAGAATTCCCATTTTTTTTTTTACATCTAATAAAGCAATTTGAATTGAATTTATTGAATTATCATGTGTTTCTGTTGTACGTTGATGGTTTTTTTTTTTAAAAAAAAAAAAAATTATTACTAGTATTATTATTATTTTTTATGGATTCCTTTTTGTTGCTTCTAAATTCATGTAGGGGTTATCAGTATACTCATATTGTTCTATCATTGCTTAAAAGGACTTGAAATCAGATTCCGGATTGATATGTGTTTGTGTCATAGAAAAAGGGGTTTTAGACATTTGGTTTGTTTAAATTGGATTTTGACATTCTGTTTGTCGGTCTCCCATAGATGGGGATTCATCTGTCCATTATCTGCTTTTGGTGAACTTATAACTATTCTGATTCTAAGTGAGTTTTTGAATTGGAAATGTGTTTGTGGTGTTTGTTAATTGGAAATCCGGGGTTCAATTTGTCGTTTTTATATTATCCAAATGGGTTTTAGTACGCCAATTTAAGAATTGGTAGCTAGAAATGTTTCAAGTCGCAATTTGTCGCTTTCTTTTTTTACTTATGGGATTTTGATCTGTTGTAATCTTTATGCTATTTTGGTTTGATTGCTAATGAATATGATTTGAAATATTAAATTCTGAATTGTTACTTGGATTTTGTTTCTGTATTTGCATTTTTGTCGTCATGGGGTTCTAATCTATGTAATTTAACCATATTTGGTGTTATTATTCTTATGTGTTCGAGTAGGGGTTTCTGAATTGGGATTTAATTTTAGATTGTCGCGTTTTGCAGGATTCTGTTTGTTGTTTTCGTATTTCTTTAAAGGATTTTGGTTTATGTTTTTATTAGTTTCCAGTGTAATTAATGATTATCTTCATTTGAATTTAGCGTCTGAACATGTATGAGCTTACAAATACTTTCTTTTGAAAAATGCTGTCCAAAGTCTGACTCCCCCTTATTGACCAGGCCAACTTCATATGACAAGATTTAGAATGATCTTGCTTGTATTAGTGGGACCCAAAGCCCCTTCCCGAATAGGAAGGCACATTGAATCAATTGACATCGTTTTCTTTTTTCTTCATCACCGCCCCACCAAAAATCAGCTAACATTTTTTCCAACTAAGAACTCCCTTTGGAGCTGGAATCCCTGCAATAATTTCTTATGGGTTTTCTGGAGTTCAGTTATTAATTATGGGGGGTTTAGCCTGTAAATTCACCCATTTTCTTCAATGCTTGTGTTATAGATCAATGGGTATTTCATATTTGGTTTCTCGTCTTCATTTTCATCCTCATGGTATCTTTCCATTGATTGTGATCATTTGTATATATGATTTGGGCTGAATAGCCATGTAAAGCCATGACTGCAGTGTACCATTGTGTTAAAAAGTGGTTTTATCCTAAATTGGTATGTGTTGGTATTGGACATCAAATAGTTTTTGGGATTTTCTAACCATTTCTTTTTCCAATTCTTATGTTTGTTCTTCTTCTTCTTCTTCTTTTTTTTTCTTTTTTTAAATAGTTTTTATTCATTAACATTTACTGATTTGAGTTTTTTGATTTGTGGTGTTTGTGTTATAGACCAACAGGTTCTGTGGCTGTTTTCATTTTAGTCTTTAAGGTTTTAATATGTATGTTCATCCATCCTTTTGTGTACATTCTAAACCTCTGATGCTGTTGAGAATAGGTTTTTCGCTCTCTTTCTTTTTAATGTAATCCATTGCTTGACAATAAAATGATTTAGGAAAAATAATTTCCAAAGATTTTTGTGATGGCATTGATTTTTTAATCCGCTTATATGTGTTCTTCTTCATTATACTTTCTGAAATTTTATATTTTGTTTTACCAGAGAAGAAACACCTTTAACCAGGGCAGGAGGAGGTTGAATGGAAGAGCTTTTAGAGCTCAAAGAGAAGATAGCATTAGGAGAACGGTTTATGTTGCTGACATTGATCAGAATGTAAGTAAAATAGACAGAATTCTTGGTGCTCATTGCATTGACTGTTCTTTTGGTTCCATATGATCTCAACCCTCAAGTGAATCTGCATTAATAAAACTCTTTGACTTTTTCAAATTAGATCACTGAAGAGCGGCTTGCGGCCTTATTTAGTAGCTGTGGGCAAGTAAGTTATCGTGCTCACGCACTTGAACTTGAACATTAGTCGATTCATTATATTTATCTTTTTGCTGATAAGGTACTACTAGCTGTTTGGTTAATGAATTCTTGAGACTTACCAGATAGAGAAAAGCAAAAAAAAGAAAAAGAAAAAATGTTTGATGATTATTTGAGCGCTTTTGTAAGTGCAGACCTGAGTGCTTCATTTTAAAATTTTGATAACTTAAAGATTTCGCCCATCTTTCCAAATCACAAAAGAGATGGGGACTAGGATTAACTGATTGTATTTTCTTTCTTTCCTTTTTTAAATCTTATTTGGTCTATAAAATGAGGACCTGCACTGAAGAGAGCCCAAATCATTTAAATGTTGCTGTATCAATTTTTTTGCGGGCCTTGAAAGAGTTTTACGACTGCATATGTATTTAAATTTATACTTGTATGGAACATGAATATCTTAGTTACTTCTCAAAAAAAAAAAAAAAAAAAAAAAAAAAAAATATCGTTTCTTTACCATTTTTTATTGCTTCTTTGAATGCCCTGGCAACTCAATAGATGTATTTATATGTATTTTCATTTCAGAAATTTCAAACTTATAATTGCGACACTACTCTTGAAATTGATTTGCTGAAAATGTATGATCTGATGTGCAATCTGTTCCAATTCTTGACAAAGACTGAGAAACTAATAAAATGCCTGATAACCAATTTTATATACTAAAATGAAGGATAACCAGTTTTATTTACTTATAACAGAAATCTGGTTATTAGAAATTAATAGTGAAAAAAGAAGAAGAGGTTACTCGGTGTAATACCCCTAATTTAAAAAGGATAGTCTCGGTATTATTTTAATAGTTTTAATTGCATTTAATTATTTAATTGTTTGATATCCCTTGTATTGCCACGGGTGATCAAGTCCGAGCACAGAATACAAGGGATATCAAACAATTAAATAATTAAATGCAATTAAAACTATTAAAATAATTCCGAGACTATCCTTTTTAAATTAGGGGTATTACACTCGGCATGAAAATGACAATTTTAGGCCTCTCTGGCTGTTATAAATTGACAATTTATTCATCTCATTCGCTGTCAGCCTATTACTCCCACCGTCCTTCCTTTTTAAGTGCTTTCGAGGATGATTTCACATTTATTAAGTAAAATTCAGTTATTCCTGTAAAAGTGTGGTGCCTTATTTTTAACAATTGTTATGGTTTATTTTATCTGTTTTCTTATGGTAATTGATTGCTTAATTAGATTACAATTGAACTTGATAATTGATTTAGTTAAAATCAGCTCTTACCAAAAGAGGCAACTTATGTAACCCCCCCTTAGTCTAATCCATAATCTGCGATCCACTGGGCATTTTGCTTGCACAACTCTCAAATTGAGCATGGCTATTTTTTGTTAGCCTAGTAATTAACATTTTATTATTTCCATGGACTCGAGATAAATTTAATATGGTGATGATATGAATTTATTATTGATGTGATATTCATGATTATTTCTGTTCTAAAATCTTCTGTTATAACTCTTCTGTATTTGGCAGTTGTATGCAACATGTTAGTCATTTTATTATTGATATATCTGTCTACACATTTTCTGCTATCAATAAGGTTTTTACAGTTCCTCTACTGTTTCATCATATGCTTGCAAGCAGCTTTAGGCATCAAGTTATTAAATTATCCCATAGTGGATGCATAATGTGTGAATGCTTTTGACACTTTTTTTCCACTTGAAGTTTCAAATCCAAGTTTCTTTGTATTCATCTGCCATTCAATGCGTTTGAAGAAAATATTTGTGGTATGGATTCTCTTGGAGTGGTTATGTGAGTTATAATGATGTCATGTGGCTCATGTTATTATCTAGATTTTGTTCAGAGAGATCACAGGGTAATGGTGCATTTTTTAAGAGTATGCTTCTTACGTCGGGTATTTACTGTTTTCTCTAACTTATCAAAATTTTCGGTCTTCTCACATATTCTGATCCCACCATTTAGTATTAAGAGATTTTTCAATCGTTCGGAATGTTAATGAACCTGCTGACTTTTCGAGAGTGCTGCACCTGGATTCTTTCCAAAGGATAACTGATTTAGTTTTCTTCCATAATTCCATAAGCCTAAAACCTTATTTGACTTCTTTAATGCATTTGTTTATGTTAAATTAATGGCATTTTAGACGACGTGCAAACAAGAATGTTTCAGAAAGAGCCCAATTGAGGATTTCGATCAATTTTTTAATTATTGTTTCTCATTCGGGGCTTTTACCTCTGAATTGGATTAGTAGCATTTTTTGTTTAAATTTTTTTTTTTTCCTCACGGGATACCTTTTTACTTAGTTGTTCCATTTCTTTTCCATCTTCCTTTTTCTTATGAAACTGTACTCTATATTCCTGAGGAAACAGAAACTCAATATATGATGGCGAATATGATTTTGTTTCTATGACGGTTGATGTGGTTGATAAATTTTTGTAACTTCTCTGATTTTCTTTTTGCTATGCTTACTTTGAAGGTTGTTGACTGCCGAGTTTGTGGCGATCCGCATTCTCATCTTCGCTTTGCATTTGTGGAATTTGCTGACGAGCGTAAGTGGGTTGTTTTGGCTTGTCTTTGTAACATTGAGAACACTCTTTGTTATGTGATTTCACACATCTCACATACCATGTGGAATTAATGTCGACAGAAGGTGCAAGAGCAGCCCTCAACCTTTGTGGGACAATGCTAGGTTACTACCCAGTTAAGGTTTTACCTTCAAAGACTGCTATACTTCCTGTGAATCCTACATTTCTCCCCAGGGTATGAATAACTTTGAAGCCAATTATGCTGTGTGATTTCTATATGATGTCTGCATGACATACTTTTTCCCTTTTGGTCAGTATTTCAATTTTAGTAGATCCATGGAGATTTCAAATTTCTAACTTTTTGATGACTGAAATATAGTCGGAAGACGAACGGGAAATGTGTGCAAGGACAGTGTACTGTACAAATATTGATAAGAAGGTAGGAAACTTTTAAGTTCTCTGCTATACCTTTTTATTTTTCATATGATGCATCCTGAATAGTGACCGGGTTCTTTTGATTATGTCTTTTAATGGTAAACAAATAGCCTTTTCTTTTTACACCTGATTGAGTAGTTGCATGTAAAAGAAACTTGTTTCGGGTTTCTGTAGGGAATTTAAAAATTTATTGTTGATGCAGATTTCTCAAGCTGATGTCAAGAATTTCTTTGAAACAACTTGCGGTGAGGTAAGGAGATGCCTAAAATCTTTTTCTTTTTTCCTCATCAGCTCTACGAAAAGGTAGTTAAGAAGTATAGCTAATATTTTTGCTTTGCAGGTTTCTCGCCTGAGGCTCCTGGGGGATCACGTGCATTCTACACGCATTGCTTTTGTTGAGTTTGTTATGGTGAGTTTGTAATATTACTTAAATTAGTGTTAACAGCATGGTTGCATGTGCTTAGATTTTTTCTGTTCAATAATACTTCAACGACTTCATGATTTAACTATGATCATAATTTTTCATACTATTCTATGTAATTTTATTTTATCTTTAAAATCTATGTAGTTTTATGTTAGTTTCCTTTAGCTACATTTCAGTACACAGTTTTATTGTCATTAGCGGATGGACTTCTTCCTCTCCCCCCGAAAACACACCCACACAGACAGGGTTTGTTATTACTTGGCCTCACCTTCAGGAAATCTGATCCGCCAAAAAATATAAATATAAAAAATATGTATGGCATATCTTTTCTATTTTCGTTATCTGTTCTTCTTCTTATTATTATTTTTCTTTTTTCTTTTTCTCAGTGAGCTTCCTTGTTACATGCCATTTGCCTTGTCAATCTAACCTTCTGTCTTGATTATCTGATCTCTAATCTTTTTGTGGGTTCATATGTGTTGCTTAGCTGGAAATGTTTAGCCTTCATGGTTGGGGGCATTAAAGGATCCAATATATTCGTTTAAGAGGGAGAGTTAGGGCACTTTTTGAGTTTTACCATTTGGCGTATCGATTTAACATAGTGATAATATAGGTTGAAATTGTCTTTGTTCATAAGAATCACTGAATCTTTTATGATGTCTTTCCTCTACCTTGACTTGGATGGCCATTTTACTAGGCATATATGGTATATGTGACAACTTGGAACATGTAAGATCTTTAAGTTTATTGCAAACGCCTATCATGCTTCTTCATATCTGGTTTCTCCTTCTTAGTCACAAAATTGGAAATCAGTAGCCTGGTCTTTAGTGTCCATCTCTAGTAGCCAAATCTTTCCAAAAAGAACTGAGGTGGAAACATATCTAACTCCCAGCGAAGAAAGAGCATGCTTGATTATTGGATAAAACTAGTCTCTGTTATAGACAATACAGGAAAATAGAATACACGTGGAAGACGGTATGAACTCAAATCTCAATTAACCTTTTTTGGAGAATAAAATCGAGTATAATACAAAAGGGTAATCAGCTTGTGCTTGAGGATAGACTTGGGAGAAACGTTTCTTTTATGCTTTCTTTTGGTTGTTTACAGAACAGAAGGAAAAAGAGAAGAATTCATATTTTCTATTTTGAATACTTTTTGCTGAATACAATCAATTCTAGTCAAATAAGTCTTGCACAATAATTAGGTCATGGTGAGTTTATCATTATCTTAAGAATTAATGTACTGAAAATTTAAAAGTTGAAATTTCTGTTACTTTTCTTTTTCCCCAAGTTTTCACAAATTTTAAGCTTGAATATTATATTTAAAAAAATCACAAACCTGTATTGGCATTCATTGGAGTATAGCTGACTGATATAACATTGAGTCAATTGTCGGATTTTTTTTTTTCCCTGTATAGTGACTGTGCTTCAATTTTCAGCACTTTCACCTTGTGCAGAACACATTGATACGCATGTCAAATCACATTTGCAATCTAGTACATTTTTGTGGTTCATTGTGTCTGGAAGTTGTCATATTGTAATGCTTCATGTTAGAAACCAGCATCTTTATGAACTTATATCCTGATGCATCACCCTGTCTGAAAATGTTAACGTCCGAAGTCATGTTCATTTCTGAAGGCTACTTTTCTGAAACATATCAATTACCTGTCAAATGAAAAAGAAACAGATTGGTTAGAAATTAATGGGTTCCTGGAAAATACAGGACTTTTGTGAAATAAATGAGGATAAGTTGGTTTTCTTGAAAATGATGTCATAAAGTTCTCATATAAGCCGGTCATCTATAATCTGTTCTTGGAGGACTTGGTTCCCATTCTCTCACCATATTAGTGGAGACCGAGTGTTGTTAATTGGCTTGTAATAGTAGAACTGTTCCTTAATAGCTAAGGCAGAAAGCTAAGAGCAATAAGTCTAACTCCATTCCTTAGTCTCTTAGGTCACTCTCTCTCTTTCATATCATTTGTTATATGTTCTTGGGGGCTTTTCATATATAGAAATCCATAAGTTGGCTTGCTAAGGTATGCGTGGATGCTTATTACTCAATTCTTTCAGCATCAACCCCCCCACCCCCTCCCCCCCCCCCCAAAAAAAAAAAGTTCCATAGTAAGGCATATGTTCAAAAAGCGTGACATGCTCCAGTTGCAATAATTTTTTCCTTTAATCGAGATTGGGACTGAAAACCAAAGACGAGTTTAATGGGGCTTGTACAATATACATTAGTATCATGCTATCTTCATGAGTTCTCTTTCTTTTTTGTTAGGGGGAGGGGGAATGTGAGAAGAGAGAGAGAGAGTGGGTGGTGATTAGTGGACTAGGACAGTTATAGAATTAGGTGAAAACACTTACAGTGTCCTTTTTATTTCTTTTACCCTAGAAAGCAACTCACTTACCCACTTTTGTCCCTCAGGAGCTTGAACACTCTGACTTCCTATTTTAGAAAGTAGAGGAGATACTTCTAGGCTATATGGTGGTACTTAGCGTTTGGTGGTGTAACCTTTTATGTGTAAATTAATAGTATATATTGGTACTGAATTAGATACTTTTGCTATAGCTGGTTGCCTGATATATTTTCCCCTGTTTTCTTAAAGTGGGGATGTGAAACAGTTCTTAATTTTAGAAATGTCTTTCTTACTTGGGAAAGCGAAAGCTTTTCCATAATCTTTCTTTGCATTCTTATTATGTTCACAATATAGTTAGTGCATTTTTCTTATGATGTTCACAATATAGTCAGTGCATTTTTTAGTTTGTTATTGGTCAAACGAAGAGTGAATTTAGTTTATCATTGGTCAAATGAAGTTATTCTTTGATTTGAGAAGAAAAAGGAAGCCATTGAAAACAAAACGCAATGAATTTTTAATTATACTAGTTTTGACTATTACTTATCAAAAAAAAAATTATACCAGTTTTGACTATTGAGAGGAATATATAGTTCCATTTATACATTTATATGTACTCAAATACCATGCCATAGAAATCTTTTTCATTTCAATGGTCATCAAGTTGAATTTCGCACCACCAAATGATGTGGATTGAAAATCAAATATACAACTCTAGCGAGCAACTTCTCATCTGTAAATAGCCTGCCTTCGGAAGTTATGGCAATAAAGTAAACATAGTCAAGTTTCCACTCGCATATTTGATTATTTCCAAATGGATGCTTGCCATAATCTCTAAGCTATCATTTACACTACTTTTTCTGTTATATATTCTATTTTTTTGTTTTATTATTAAATATTGACCAACTGTTTTGTCTTCAAAGCATTAAGGAATATAACACTTTTATGCAAGACTGTAACAAAACTTTGTATGATACTCAAATGACTGAATTGTGTAAATGACTCTTTTCATCAGGGTTTAATGAATGCACTCATTTTATTTGTGGATGCAAGGAATCATTCTCACAAATTTATTTTTTCCCTTTATGTGCAGGCAGAGAGTGCCATTCTGGCGCTGAATTGTAGTGGGAGTGTGTTGGGAACCCAGCCCATCAGGTAAAGCCTCTAAACAGTAGCTGTATCATCCCAGTTTTTTTGTCTCTTAGACCTGAGTATTAGATGTTAACTTCTTTTCTTTTCTTTTTTCTTTTTTTCACTGAAAATCTTCATCTATAATGTAGGGTAAGTCCTTCAAAGACACCTGTGAGGCCGCGCGTTCCTCGCCCTGGTCTGCAGTAGCTAATCATTAGAGTCTGAGACCCGCGGATGGAATTAATGTATTCCCTGTCGAGAGAGGCTTTGTTGCGATGAAGGGGTGGTGAAACTTTTTTTTTTTTTTTTTAACCTTTTTTATTTCAGTGTTTCCATCTTTTCCATAACAATAGTAACTTTTCCAGCAACTCAGTCTGTTGTGAGCCCTGCTTCAAATGAAGTTTTTTTACAGGACCACTCTGATCTTGAGACTTTTCACCTTAATCCATTATTTGTTTCCCGGAATGCAATCAACTGACTTGATGATGTTGGTTCCAGTTAGGCAGTTACTATTTCTTATGGCTGTTTTCAAAGCCTTTTACGTACCATAACCTTGAATACTGGAACTCGAGGAAGGTTAATCGTTCCTTCCAACCACTATATATAAATAAAGGTCGGTGTGGATTGCAAAATTGAGCATCTCTATTGCCTCTCCTTCATGTGAAAACCCTTGCTTCAAATCTCACCAAGTTTCTTGGGGAAGTGATTAGTGATGAAGGGTTGTACTAGCTCACATTTTTTATTATTATTATGTTCAATATAATGTTCTTATGAACTAAGCAAACAATAATTGGAGGTGGGTGACCTATTACCGGGCAGGTGCGAAATTTTTAAGGATCAATTCACGTTTCTGTGCGTCTCTGATCAAGTGTTTAGCCTGTGACATTGAAATGGAGCTTTCCATGCCCCGACATGTTACTCCCGAATCAAGGGTAAGAGTCTTACCATGACTAAATTTGCCTTTCAGCGTACTATTTTCTGGCAGATATTGTGGCTTGAGCTTTACTTACCTAAAAAAAATTGTGGGTTGAGGTTCATGGAATCATGGGGCTTGGTTGAAGGCCAACCCAAGGTCAATAGTTAAGGGTTGAACCAACTATTGCATCCCAACTGAATCCAACCCTCCTTAAAGGGAGGGTGCTTTGGTCATTCTCAGTGAGTTGGGCATAACACGTCATTGGTATGTCCAATCAACCGAAATACTCCTTTAAGATAGTTGAGGAGAAGATATTGGGTGAGCTGGCATATCATGCCATTGGTATACCTAATCAATGAATATGCACCATTTTAGTTGGTTGAGAGCATTTTTATGTGAAGGTGGGATCAATTTAATTCATATTTATTGGATGGGCATATCAATGACATGGCAAAGCGGGCTCACTTCAATACATGGTTTAAGATATTAGTTTCTTTCACATTTGCTTTCATGCTTAAAAATGAAATTCTATTTAAGAATCGCCGGGAAGAGAAAAAGGAAAATTAAGAAGTAAAATTGAAATTTTCTCCTTATTCTTTTTTCATGTTTTTCTTGGTAACCGGAAAAGAAAAAGTATATTAATATGCATTATTTGAATCCAAAGGTCAAATGGCCCTTTTGGTCTCACAGGATGGCATGCTATAATTTCTAGAAGATGCATATAAGCGGTAGAGAAATAGAAAAAGATAAACATAAGCGTGTCTATCATAAGTTTTCTACAACATTTTTCCGGGTTTCTGGAATGTCTTCAAAGTTTTCCTACACGTGGAGTTTCTACAAAACATCAAAGTTTTCCCTCAAATTTTTAGTAGGTTTTACTTTAATTTTCTAGGAAACATAACTAGGAAAAAAAAAAAATTCTAGGAAACATCAAACTTCAAAGTTTCTAGGAAACTCTAATAAAATGATTTTAATATTTTTATTAAATTACTTCTTTTTTTTTTTTGCTTATTTAATAATACCATTGTCCTAATCTTTAACCCATATTCTGACTCAGTTTAGTCACATCCGTTTTTATTTTTATTTTTATTTATTTTTATTAAGGTAGTTTAGTCACGACCGTTGTTTTTAATTTTCCAGTCCAATAGAAATAAATTGGATTCCATGGTTGCTTCCTGGGACTTGAAGAAACCTTGCTCCCTATTATTGGCTTAATTGAGAAGTCCACATTTGCAAGTTATTCTATCATCTCTTTCCTTTCTAATCTTGAAAACTAATCAATATTTTGTATTAACATTCTTGACTTTGATAAACGTTTTAAATAGACTAGGTAAAATAAAATTATGTGTCACGATCATTCCTTTGAATTGGGCTGCATCTTGGATTCTGGAAATATGTGTTCTGGAAGTAATATTGTTTGTATATGTCTCCATAGTCATAGTCCATTATATATATATATATATAGATAGAATATGATAAATGCATTCCATTTTTTTATAAATACACTCCTTTTTGTTTTTGTTTTTGTTTTTTCTTTAGCTAAATGATGTAAATGTCCCCTTATTATACTTGGATTCACATAAATTGAATTAAGGATAAAATGTTACTCCTTCATAAATACTCATTGATCCGTGGGTCACGCAAGGAAAGTTTTGGGTATGTTTGGGAAGTGTTGTGATATTACTATTTTGATATTGGTATTTAAATTTTGACCCATATCATGTTTCAGATGATTGATATTAGTTTGTAAAATAGTTCATATCACCAAAGTAGTGATATTGTGTGTTTTGGTACAATAGCGGAAAAAATAAAACAAATTCTCAAATTTTTCAAAATAAATTTTCGTTACTAAACATGGTTTTGATTTCTACCCAAAAAAAATTTACAACAAAATGGTTATTTTGATAATAAACAAAAACATAACGCCTAAAACACATTGCATACCAAACGGACTTTCAGTTATACGTTAATTTGTTGTCATGCCAAACATCCAAGCAGGTAAAGTCTAGATTGTGCTATTACGGTAACTTGTATTGGTGGGCATGATATAAACAATTTTGGGCCCTTTTTCATTTTGTTCTTTCCTAGATGCAGTTCTCTTCTGGTTTCTTTTATCATTTTCCTAGAATTTTGAGTTTGTTTTCTCTATCAACAAATATCAGCTTGCTTATAAATAAAAAATGAGTTAAAAAAAAAAAAAAAAAACCCCTCAATGTGGGTATTAAAAACTTCTGTAGATATATTATGTGATTAATGACTGAAAGTTGGTGAACTCACAGAACTCACAATTCTCCAGGTCACCAGATTGCAGAACTCACAGAAAAGCTTCAATGGAATGATGATAACTTAGGGAAAGCTTTGGAAATGTATCAACAGCAGAAGGTAACAATCTCAGAGCTCAGGAAAGAGGTGGAACTTCTCAAGTCACAACTGCTAACCACCTCCACCAGTCTCCTCCATCAACCATCAGCTGCTCAAACATCCAACAACACCACCACCACCACTGTCACAGAATGCCAGTCACCAAGGGCGGGATCACAGCCAGGTTTGAATTTGAATTTGAACTCAACTGTTGAACCATGTGACATCCCTCAACAGGGTCCTACAACCAACAACTTAGCCCATAATAGTAAAAGGAAAGATATTCTTCCCACTTCTGCTGCAGGTGTTCAGCTTTCTACACCTAAAAATGGTAATCCATTACAACACCACACCCTCACAAGTCACATCACCACTGGAAATGGGAAATCTTGGACTGATGTGGTCAAACATGACATAGGGAAGATGAATCTCGAATTCTTACCTCCCAATCCTGATACCCCAAACCTTATTGTTCCACTTGTGGAGGTTGCATTAGAAGGGCTCGAATTTTGGGGTTCTACACACCTTGTTGGAATCTCAATTCACAAGAGAGTTCCATTTAAAGTTATACAAGCTGCTGCAGCAAAGCTTTGGAATGCTCTTGGCCTCACCAACACCATCTTAGGGGAGGAAAACACCTTCCTTTTCGGATTCAAATCCTGTATTGAGGCTGAGAAAGTTCTATCCATGAGGCCTTGGTCTATTGCTGGACACCCATCCTCTTTCATGAAATAGAACCACAACCAAGCAACAAACCCAACCATATTACTTGTGTCCCTGCCTGGGTAAACTTCCACAATATTCCACTTAGATACCGGACAGCCAGAGGATTAAGCTACATTGTTAGCTCTATTGAAGAACCACTCTATGCAGATGAGGCAACAGAGAACAAGACAAAGCTGAAATTTGCAAGAGTCTATGTTAATCTGGATCTAACAAAGCCACTAAAGTATGATGTTGAACTCCTACTGGATGATAACAACACTGTCTAAGTCAGAATGGAATACCAATGGCTTCCAAAATTTTGCACCAAATGCAACCAGTTGAAGCACAATGAAGCACAGTGCCCTTTGAATGTTCTCAATCCTGCAGCAAAAAACAAGGACAAGGGCAAAACCATTGCCTCCACACCTACAAACAGTAACTCTCAGAAGGTTAACACCCCTGCATACACCCCTTTACCAAACACTGAATGGGTCATAGTAAGGAGAAGGAAGAATAAACCCACAACTATCACTGCAATCCCAGACCATCAAAGCCCCATACACACTATCAATCCATTCTCTCCACTTGTTCTTTTGGATTCTGACACAAACCCAATGGTTGAAAACAACAATGAGTCTGTATCCCCCTCGACACATGTTAGTCCTACTCAATCTCAATCTGGGAACTCTTCATCTACATTATCTCCCTCTAACCATACACCTATATCCACATCCCCAAAACAAAAAATTTCTCCTCTCTGCAGCAAAAAACTCATCTTCTCTCCAGTATCCTCCCCCCTTCCTCACCATACCCTACTCTCAATACCATTGCTTAATAATCCACCTCAACATAACCCTACTACACTACAAGTTCAGCATACTGCCCTAGTGAAGAAATCTACCCCTACCACATTCCCACAGTTCAAGAAGCCAGGTGGATTAAAGATACCTCTCAGCACATCTTCATCATTAAGTGAGACAGAAACCACTCATCAAACCAAGATCTCAGCTAGAAGCTTGAAGAAGGAAGCTAGGAAGAAGTCTCACACCAGGTCAGGGTTGATGCCCACTACACCTTCATCAGAGGTGGGGCATCTTGGAGGTTCTTTCACCCCTCCCTTCCATTGATTACATTCCTAACATGGAATATAAGAGGGTTGAATCAACCCTCAAAGCAGTCAGAGATCAAGAGGCTAATCTCTGACAAAAAGCTTGATTTAGTCTCCATTTTTGAGACAAAAATATCTTTATCTAAAGTGAATTCCATTCAAAGGTTTTTTGCTCCTAATTGGGAGATCATTCACAATTACAGTTTCTCTCCTTTAGGTAGAATTTGGGTTATGTGAAACCCTAATCAAATTGGCCTCTCTGTCATTGATATGAATAGGCAGGCAATTAACTGTAAAATCAATGTTCTTGGAGAGAATATTACCTTTTACTGCTCTTTTATTTATGCTGCTAACTGTGCTATTGAAAGACAGTATCTTTGGGAGAACATTGTCCAC